GAGACTCCTGAGATTTATTCCACAGCATTGATGTCCTGCAGAAACAGTAATTTTCCAATTATCAAAACTACTAACCACTTGTGCCTTGGGAAAGGAATTTGGGAGGGAGCTCAAAGAGATGAAAGTGTTTGTAGAAGTAACGAACTGTGGAAAACTAACGGCTCCAGCCTTGGAGAGGAGCTAACAGACCGATAAAAGGGAACGTTTTGGCACCAAAGCCTGGGCGGTGGCCAGAGAAGCGTGAAGTTTGATCAAACTGCAGAAACCAGGTGAAAAGTAAATGCGGCGAGGGGAGATCGCGACCACCGACTCGATTCAGGACCAAAAAGACTTGCCCCCCCCACCTGAAAGGAGCACGCGCGCTGATTTACATAGCAAGCGAGGCTAATTTAACTACAGTAAACCAATAGTGTGGGCAGTGTTAATCACTAACCAATAAGTGTAAATTTAGGCGGGCTTATACGAATCACGTAACCTGATAAATGTGCTGTAGTTTTGTATGAGGGTGTGCTTGATTTGTGGAGTTACCACCGAGCACCCTGTGCAGAATAAAGCAACGTTGGTTCTCTAAACTAGACTTTCAGTCTTTCGTTTGGAGGGTTTTCTCAATTACGTGCAACAGCATCACAGAAAAAGGACCGAACCCCTCTGCTGGTCTGGGCTGAGTTCAGTCAGCAGCAGAGCGATGACAAGCTCTACGTGCTGCTATAAACTCCCGCTGCAGGCACGGGAGTACAACAGCAATACTGCAGTAATATGATTTTCCACACGTGAAATGGGTTATGAAGGATATGCTGCATCCGTGCCTTCTTCCAGGCCTGCCTGAGCAAAGTCCCCGCGGCACAGGTTAACGGCATCTTGGTGCGCGGATGGAAACGTGACAGAGGAGAGTCGCAACCAGGGTGGGAAAGGAGGCGGCCTCTGGATGAGAGGGGTGGAACAACTTCACTCCACCTCCTAAAAGCTCACTGAGACCAGAGGCTCTCATTCCTCTCCGTAGCCCAGAGGCACGTGGAAGAAGCAATGTGGCTCTGTGGGGCTTCATGTCGGGAAATGAGGACGAGCGAGGAGTCCCTAAACCTCACAGCCTTTGTTTCCACCAGGAAACACGCTGCGTTTTTACAGCTTCTTGCCTTCAAGTCGCTGACATCTATTAGGCCCGAGCCCTCAGGATCGAACAACTCAAAGGCCTCTCGCAGTTCTCGCCTCTGCTCGTCGCTGACCGGGAACCCGGGGGCCGGTTTCTCCCTCGGGGAGCTCCCACCGGCGGCGCCTCCGTCGCTGCTGGAAGCCTGAGGGAGAGAGGGACGGCGGGAGTGTTGAAGGCTGATTTAGAAATTTAGAGCAGTCTGATTATTTTGTGTAAGATCTACCTTGTAGTTAACAGGCTAAAAACAATCAGGTCTTGAAGAGACAGTTAATCAAGGTCTTTTAAGGAGGTTTTGTGTGCAGTGCCGCATTGGCAAAAGAAGCCGTATATCCTTATTTCGTGTAACTGAGCGGTTTAAATACAACCATGTGGTCTGGGGTGAGGACGACCATCCTTGAAGCTGTCAACAACGGCAAGTTGAGAAAACCCTCATCAGAAACCGCCCCCGAACATCCCGGAGACTTGATTAATACGTTTAGC